TATACATACATATATTGTATTTGTACGCGACAATACAACAAAAATCTCTGGCGTAAATACACGGGACGTGCGGAACAGGGATTCGTCCAACATTTGACAAACGTACGCATTGTCTGGAAGCGACTTTTCCGAGCGACAATGTCGCTCGCGAGCGTGTCTCGGATGTCGCGCTGTCGGTGAAATCGAGTCACAATCACGCGGCGCGGTGTACTATTTCGTAATTCGAATCGACGGGTTTCCAATCCATCGAGTGGACACCGGGGCAACGATAATTCGCGAGCGAACAATCCGTTTCGCCGTTCCATTGTAGCCGGCGCTCGTGTTTTGTTTCCGGCGCCGCGCCGCTTTACAATGTCGTTTATTTCGCGCAGCGAGCGTACCTCCGCAAATCACCGAAAATTCGGATATACGAGCCCCCCGTTCTGCAAAAGCCGTACTTTTTTTTCGCCGTGCCGAAGCATTTTTTTTTTTTGCGCGCGAAAAAAATAGGCGTCCTACGAAAAATAGGCGCGTACTTTAACGACGGCATTGACATTAATAAAAATCATTTTACTCTTGAAGATCGTGTAAATTTTAAGAAGTTTTGGATTACATTCGCTATCAGGACGTACAACATCGGATATCGAAATATTTAAAAAGAGTAAGTTGAATAGATTATTCGGTCGAGAAAAATGGACAAATTAACCAAAACAATTATAAGCAAAGAAATTGTAAATTTTACCTTTCTAATTTTTGACAAAACATATGGATTTAAATAGAACAGATCTAAAAATATGACTTTTGCATTTACGTTGAACGACTATTTACCTCTCCAATCTGGTTCTAGCTAATTGTTACTAGAGTTTCATGTCTCTTTATCATTTTCTCCTTTTCATAAGAAAATTATAAAAGCATGCGTTTATCTTAAATTAAATCAACGAATAATCTGGTTTTAAACACAAATCTGCGAACGAAATAATATATTTTCCGAATGGCATTCTCTACTATATTATTTCGTTCGCAGATTTGTGTTTAAAACATGATTCACTTCGGCGTGACGGATAAAATAAAATTAAAAACACGTTTTAAGATTTCCAAGCGGTTTCTCTTTGAGAAGAATTAAGATCTAATCTTCCTCGATTGATTTTCCTGTTCAGAGTACATGGATCACATCGCGAACATCGCTTTTCATTGATCTGCAGAAAGATTTACCTCTCTTCTCGCGAAGCGTAAAACGGCTCGCTATGCGAAGCTGAGGCTTCGTTCGATCCGACGAACACTCACGATCGATCTATCGCGATGACAGATGTAAAATCACGGTTGCTATAGTGATGCACGACGATCCGGATTCGAGTGTTCTCATCTACTAATATCACCATCGTTGTCCCATTTTCATCCACGAGCGCATACTCACTGACCATAGGCGGTTGCTAATTATCATTCTAATGGTCCCTACAGTCATTGAGCATATACCCGTTCCGATTGTTGTAACATCACGTTCTCCTCGGTCGGCTGGCGTGTTACAAGTGACCACACGTATACACCCGACGGAAGGAGAGAAAAAGAAAAGACCGACTACGTCCCTTCGGTAGCCCTTTGGGGCCCCGGACAGCGTCTTTAAAGCGAACATCTAAAGAGAAAAGAGAGTGCGGTCTCGATCTCTCGAGTCGGCCATCCATGATGACGGATGAGCCGCACCCGGGTGACGAGCGACGGTGACGGAGGCTCGGGTTCATCCCGGCCGCCGTCGTCCGCTTCCGCGCCGCGCACGGCTCGCGAATTCGATTCGCGAGATCGCGGAGTCCCCGCGTATTCCCTCCCGTTTTCCCTCCCTCCCCCTAAGGACTGTCATCGGGTATGGCGTACCAGGCAGCTGGATCCGCGGCGAGGGCCCATGGGCCCGCGACGGAGGGATTGGCGTAGGCCGCGGCCCCCGCCGCGGATGGCGCGCACTACCAGGCTCGACCCTGCAGGGGTAGATACGCGCCGCACTGCGGCTGCTGTTGCTGCTGCATGCCCTGCTGCGCGCCGGACCGCGTGTACGAGCAGTGCTGCAGGCTCTGGCTCGAGCTCATCACGTGGCTGACGCCGGCGACGACCGAGTGATGGGACACCGAGGAGGTCGCCGCGTGATGGGTGCCATGGGGACTCGAGGCCGCCGTCATGTGCGGCGCCGGGCTCGCCAGGGCCGCGCTGGGCCCGCCACGGCTACCCTCGTTCCCGCCGCCCCCGCCGCTCCCGCACGGCTTCCCGTCCTTCACCAGCACCGGCACCGCCACCCGCCGTGGTGAACTTGCACTCTGGAAACAGACGTATTTCATTGCATCTTGATACCCGTATACAGGAGACGAAAGTTGCGTCAGGAAAGAATAGTTTTGCTAAACTATCTAGAAATTTGATGCAGATGCAGATCTGAAAATAAATTTGTCGGGCCTTCAAAATTATTATGTACGACGATTTCATATTAGTGCTAAAAGATTCAAAAATCTTGCAGCATTATTGTCATGTTTAAGCGTTCTACATAATAATTTTGATTAATTTAACAAAATTATTTTCAGATTGATAACTGGCTAGATTTTTAGATTTGCCAGCAAATTGTTCTCTGGATGTAGTATAATAAATATTTAATATTACATTTATGTGGGCAATAAATTTCGGTCGCGTGTCTATATCATGAAAATATGCTTTTTTGCAGATTTACTTAACAAAAGTGTTCTTTCATGTATATATTAAATATTTTTATTTTTCAATTATATTCAATATTGTATCTTTTTAAAAAATCTCTCGCATCTTAGATCGATTAATCGTAAATTCGATTCGCATCGTATCAGAAATTGCCGCTACTTTCAGTTAGAACGTCACGGACGAGAATACGAATCAAACCGGACGACATCGCGAACAATTTAATTGCAGATATAATCATAATCCAATCCTCATTTATGGGTCATACGTAACATAAAATTAGCTTTTGTTCATCAATGATTTATTAGAAGATATATTTCATGAAGTATTAGATCGAAATCTCTCAGACAAGGCAACAGTCGCACTTTCGGCTATTGCAGATTCCGCGGATATTAATTTTCATTTTGAACTCATACGTTTACGACACCATGCAAACATTAATGTTATTTTGAACATATATATAATATATGTATTATAATATATATAATAATATGTATTATTTCGATGTTCAAGATAGGAAAAGTGCACCAAATGCGCTAAGAGCAACAGGTGCAGAGTATCAGTATCGCCAGTGTTAGCGTATGAAATTAGCCGCGTGAAATTAGACGGATTTATCCGACGGATTCCTTCCGCCATTAAAATTTCATTCGTCCCGTCCGTTAATTCTATAAGAATATTGATATCATAGCTTCGTGCGATCGTAGGCTCGGGTTTATATCCAAGCTGTCATAGCTTCGTGCGATCGTACATCCGTGCGATCGTACATCCGAGCTTACATTCGAGATGTGACAAAACACACGTTGAATCATTGGTCGGAAGGTTTGTTGTGAAATGAGTCGTGAATCATACACGGAAAGAATTTTATTAGTAAATTTAAAAATTTGACCAGATGCAAATTATTTTGTTGAATCATCATCAAAATTATTATGTAGAACAGTTAAACATGAGAATAATATTGTCAAAATTTTTGATCTTTTATCAACCAATTTGAACATCATAATAATTTACATAATAATTTTGAAGGCTTAATAAAATTATTTTCAGATCTATATTTGGCTACATACAAAACTATTTTCTGTGGGTATATCAATAATCAGCGCGCGATCGTAATTAATTTAGCTTTTATGAGCGCCATGTTGTTCAAGTGCGACGGAGAAGAAAGGGTAGGTTGAAACCGGAAGACATTGGGCAAGAGCGAGACAATTTTAGAATAAATAATTTGTTTTTTTTATTTATTCGTTAAATGTCAATGTTAATTATCCATCTGCAATCACGTTCTATCATTTTGTATCGTAATAACATAAAATGCATATTTAGTAATTTTGATTGTCCTAAGCTACTTCAGATATTTAACATGATACATTCGATATGATATTTTATATACATTTATAACGCATTTAACATGTTTAAAACTTAAAATCGGAATTTGTTCTTTATTTGCTTGTTACTTGCGACATTAATTGTTTGTCTGCGATCACGAGGCATGTCCCATGAATTGTAATAATTTTGCACCGTAATAATGTAAAATATATATATTTTGATTATTTAAAATAATTAAAACATTTAACGAGATACATTCTCTACAATATTTTATATGTATTTACGATGCTTTTAACGTATTTTAAACTCAGAATCACGGCACAAAATTATTATTTATATAAGAAAAAAAATCTCATAAAAAAAGGTTTTATTTGTTCGATTATACTTATTATAAAGGAAAACATTTTTTCGAAAAATATGTGTAATTATCTTAAAATATCTATTTAAAAGATGACAATAAAATATATTTATCCCGCGATATAACCGCTTTAATTTGGATAAATTCACAAATTATTATAAACAATTTCCATTGCCCGTCGTGCCCACGAATCATGCCTCACTTCAATTTGAGATAATGAATCTGTAAAAAAAAAAAAAAGAGAAAAAAAAAAAGAAAAAAACCTATCTCGTAGATCCACGTCTCGAAATGTATATTTACAATTATTCGGTTGGAGGTCTTTTTAAGCAAACGTGTATACTCGTGCGCGCCGCGCGGCTACCGATCGTTTCTCCTGGATTATCGAAACGTCAAAGTTCCTTAGTACAAGTGTACGCACTTTGAGCGCGCGCGCGCGCACGCACGCACGCACGCACGCACGCACGCACACACGTATCGTGCAATTTCCCGGCTCGACGGATGCTGCGTGAACAAACGCCGGGCATACGTGGGCCGGCAAGGACTTGGGCTAAGCGCTCCTGTGTTCCGAGCAAACATGCGCAGCGCGGTAGGCCCCGGTAAGACACTTAACCCGCACGATATCCCGCGATCAGCATTCACACAGCTAGACGAAGTGCAGGATGGACTCTCTCGTTACGAATAAACAGTACCGGCTACCGTAGACTCGGCCCGTCGGCCGTGCCGCATCGTAAAATCTCCCCGATCTAGAAATTTTTACGCAGATGCGAGAACTAGAACTCTATATATACATATATTTTTTATTTTATATCACGGAAAAGTTTTATTGAAATTTTATCTAAAAAAATTGGCCCGATATAGATGTGAAAATAATTTTGTGGAACTTTATAATTTTCAATGCTGGTTGCTGAAATATCAAAAATTACTATTATCATGCTTAAATATCTTTAGTTTGGTGGATTCAAATTTGTGGCAAAATTTTTAGATACTTTAACAAAATCATCCTTTTCATATAAATTTCTTTTATTTGTACTGCCAAAGATAACGTAAAATTGCGCATTGAGTTATAAATGCAAATTAGCAATCAATTTGAACATTCCATATATAATTATTTTGATGCACCTAACAAAATTACTTTTGGGGTTTGTATTTGATCAAATTTTAAATTCAGCAAAACTATTATTTTTTTCTTTCGCGTTTATATACATTTATGAGATATGTATTTGATAATTCTTAGATGAAATTAATAATCTTCTCCTTAACTCAATTAATGCTTCGATCGACTTACTTCACTGCTGCTCCGAACGAGAAGATTTTGCAAACGTTTGCAAGGAGTGGAATATTCCGAATTTTTCCGTCAACTCAACTAGGAATTCAAGAGCACGTCCGTTAATTCGAGGGAGATCACGTTTTCTATTCGCACAAGAGATCCGTGGGCGTAGAGACAGCCCTGTTTTCTGTACGTCAACCCCACGAACCTCACGGCATACCAAACAGAAGCCGGAGCAAGCAGACCGAATACCTGCCAGAACGACCACTCAGCTGTATCAACATTCGGTACACGACATTCCTCTTCGATCTCTTTGCCAGTGAGACTTTAATAATACGATCGCGCTGAAAAATAACGTCCTTCGTTCGCCTGACGTTCGTGATTTCTCAGTAATCAGTGTCATCTGAGCGAGATTTTTTTCGTATTTCACTTATCCAATCATCCCATTACATCATTCGCCTATACTCAGATCGATCTTGTAGGAATTTATATGCCCCCGCGACATGTAATCTTAACTCTCTCTCTCTCTCTCTCTCTCTCTCTCTCTCTCTCTCTCTCTCTCTCTCTCTCTGTTATCGGAAAACATCCTCGTTATTCGGGATAACAGAATATAATTATAACTTCTCTATTTTATTTTATTTTTTTTTTTTTATTAACAGAAAGAGAGCTTCAGAATTTATGTTATTTCCACGTATATTTCCGCGCGATTCCAAATCCGCTGTGATGAATACGTGTGTAGGGTATAAAAAAAAAATAAAAAAAAAAAAAAAGGGAAACCGAGAGAGAGAAATATTAAACGGGGACCAATGGAATGCGACGAAAAGGTTTATGCGGGCAATGAATTTTTTTTGTCGCGCGAGCAGATACTTTTATGCAAATCCGGCTAGTGTCGAGTGCCCGGGAGGTATACGACCGATTTGATTCGAGTGGCCGGTACGAACTTACGTTTCGCGTTGCCGTTTGCGAGGGCATAAGTGCAGGCATGCCGTGCACTTCAAGCTGACAAAGTGACGATTACGCTAAACGCATGACGGTCCGCGCGCGCGTCACGCGTCACGCCACTTTAGCCACTTTAACGCGCGTTAAACGATTTCCGGCGAAAATGCCTGCGTTGTTGGGAGCCGAGTAGTATACCTTTACGAAGGCCAGGCCAGGCGTAGATTGCGTCGCCGGATCCGGATGCGGCTCGATCGGCCGGACCGATCTCGACGAGATCGATTTTACGCGGCGGGAACGCACGGGAAAAGAAAATTCGTCTTGAACTGAGAGAGATATTTTCACGTGCGAACGGAAATATTATAATCTCCTTAAAAATTTAGCCTTGATTTGATTGATGAAACTTGTGTTTTATTGATGCAAGTGTTATTTTTGCTCAGCTCGAAACTAAAATTTGCTATGTAAAGACTGTAATATTCTTGATTAGATAATGAAAATATTTATATATGTGCATCAACACAAGTCATTCAATCAAATCAGGATTAAAATCTTTTTAAGGGAATTGTAATATTCTTGCTTACATATGAGATTACATGTAGCCTTGATTTAAGACTAACTTTTTTTTTCTGTGCGGCAGAATTGTTTTTTCCGTACCGCTCAGTTATCTTCTCGTTGAATTTTTGTCGACAGATGGATAGAAATGATCAATCGTTTCGATAGTTTCTGAACACCAGTTG